GAAACGAAAATTTTCCAAATATTTCTCTTTGGAGAAAGTTACACAGTCCCGCAATTTTACTCTACGCGGCGCTGCATAAAACTGCGAAAACTGTGAAATATCTGCGCCACCATTGCTCTTCGTCGTTTGAACACTTCCGTCTGTTGTTGGCACGATTCGCGACGTACGTCGGAGCAATTCTATATATAAACAAATAATCGTTCCCGTTTGCGCAGCATCTAAAAAAATTTCGTTGACAATGCGACCGACGGTTTCATCTAGTTCTCCGCAGGGACCACCGCACGACTGTCAACAAATCCTTTAACGAATTTGCCAAATTATCTTACAAAATCGCGTGGGAAAACGAGGGCAAACTGCTATGCAAGTCTGACAATATTTACATCTCAATATTTAATTATGTATAAATATCTCAGTCTTGTATAAATACCTCGATGAATATTTGTATAAATATCAGCCTAATGATTGACACGCTCGAATCTCTACATTAATGAATCAAATAAGCTGCTACGTGTTTGCAAGTTGCAAAGAACAAGAACAATGTCAAATTCGCGATTTGGTTTAAATTCTTGCATCGAAACGAATCTCTCTGTTGAGAGAACTTTTGAAAGGTAAAAGAATAGCCAGTCGTCTGTGTTCGATGTTCGTTCTTCCACAGGTCATTCAAACATCAAGCTGTTCATGTATCAAGGAGGATTGCAGAGCACTCAAGAAGCCATTCATCACGCGGTACCTGTCCTCGGTTTCCCGATATTATCCGATCAAGAGTTTCAATTGAGGAAACTAAAATCTCTCGGCGCTGGGAATCATTTGAATCTCGGAGACTTGACGACAGACAAGCTGGAATCTACTATTCTGGAAATAATACATAACAAAGAGTAAAAGTTCTATGAAAACAATCTCTAATTATTACCATGTATCTAATTGTTATCTAAATTTCTGACTATCTCTATTTTTACTAAACTCTTTAATAAATTAATCAATCAGTCAAAATCGAAGTAACGATTGTACATACCACTGACATCTGCCAGAACGTTTAAAAGAAGAAATCAAATTGCCGAGTTGTTCAGAAAGTAATCTCGTAATTTCTTTCGAGTGTTATTAATTGTATTTTTAA